TCCGCGCTGCATCTGCCGCCAGCTGCCGAGGTCGCTGCAGGCGGGACGGCCGCGCCGCGGGGCTGCCTGCAGGGAGAGGGCAGCGCCTCCCGCTTCTCTTCTTCCTCTTTCCCGGCTTTGAGCTGCGGAGGAGCTGCCCGCTCGCACGTGGGGGGACCGGCATCTCCGCGCCCCGACCCCGCCTCTCCTCCCGCGACCCCCCGGTTACCTGCCCGGGAAGCGCACTGCAAAATGAAATGCACTTCAGTGCAACGAGCCAGGGCGGCCGGATCCTGCCCGTGGGCCCGAGCCGGCACCGGGGCTGGCGCGGGACAACCCAGCTGCACCCGCGGGGTGTGGCTTGGCCCGGCAAGGGGCGTGGTTACGGGGGCGGGGCCCAGCTGCGATTGCAGGGGTCGAGGCTGGGGCATATTCATGGCCCAGCTCACCACCACGGGCCAGATAGGTTGGTTCCGCGGCCCTGAGGTTGAGCACCCCTGATCTTTAACTTGTAAAAGACCAAAATCCACTGGGATTCCTAGGCTGGGGATAGAACATAGGGTCCCACTTCCTTCCCGTGTCTTTACTATTTATTCTTTCTTTTCCGGTGGCTGTTTCCTCTCCCACCTTGGCGTGTTCTCTCACCTGCCGCTCCTGTCCCTTTTCTTTTCCTTGGAAATAAAAGTAAGCATCCCCCTGTCTCCTCACCGTGCATCCTGTATTTTTGTCTCCTTTGAAATCCACTTTCCCGCCCTTGTGATGTTTTTCCTTCAAACCACTAGTTCTAACGTCGTCTCTTAGGATCAGATTTTTAATGGTGCTTAATTACTTATAGGTCTAAAGATGATGGTGGGCTCCAAGTTGGACTTCCATAGCAGGCTCTAAGTTGGACTTCCATAGCATCCTAAACACTTTTGAAAATCGCACTAGAGCCCCTTCAGCACCTTTAGGCACCCAAGTACCTTTGTACATCTGACCTTTCCTCCCGTGCATGTGTCCTACTTGCTCTGTTCTGTTCTTGCTGGGTAAGATTCACTCCAGTGCAGAGAGTGAGAGCACCACTTCATAGATGTGCCTCTTCCCAGTGCCCTGCAATAGGGTGAACTTAACTGTTGTGGTTTTTTAAAATCTGATCCATTCTCTTCTGTGACAGCCAGAACCAGAGGGATTAATAAGCAATAATATGTGCTTCTTGGAGGCATTTGGTATTTTGCCTAAATAGGTAATATTAGTTAATATAAGCTTGTAGGTTTGTAAACTGCAAATGTAACTTGTCAGTCATAAATTTAACCAAACTGATAAATTAACTGTTCATGGAACTAACTGGGCCCCATAGGCAAAGCTGTAGCTGTGAGATTAGCTGGCCTAACAGTTTTTTGCTCAGGGTTCAGCCTTAGCAATAAAAAATGGATCTAACTGCTAGGCACACCCAACACATTCCAGGAAAGCATATTCAAACGAAGCCTAAAAGGGTTTGGGATTTAGGCGGAGCGATGTCAATTTCAAACCTAAAGGTGCTGCATCATAATTTGCTTATTGAATAAACCCGAGTTTGGGTAGTAACCTTTTATGATAATTTTAACACCTTTCAATCCCATAGGGTAACAGCTATACGGCAATATTGTGAGTAGCCCTGAGGCCAACAGATTAACATAAGACTAGGTATAAAAAACACATGCATCAGGTAACCAGCAGGAAGGAGGGAACAGAACGGTCATTTCTGTCCCACGCCCGGACCCCAGACTCCCGGTGTGAGTGAGGATCGGATCCTGAGCCAGGGACCTTCCCCGGTAATCCCTCTGACAGCGTCGATCATCAGGCACGCCTGACTTCGCTGAAATCACTTGGCGCGCACCTGGCATTGAGGGACTATCAATAAGTTGCCAACCCATGTCTGTCTATTTGTTGTTTTGAATAGCCCAGTGTGGCTAATACCCGCGCAGTGCCCAGTTGGCCTGTGACAGATTGATTTATCTATCTGTTATTATTATCTGTTGTTATTATGTACTATTAGCTCTTTTATACTGCCTTATCTGCTTATCGCATTTATCTTTCTGTTAACTGTTGTGTGTGTGTAAGCTATAATAAATTTGCCTTTATTCCACTCCCAACTTTTGCCTCCTCCATCCAAAACTGAATCAAACAGCCCAGGTGGCCTGTGATAAAATTGATATGCTCACAGTGCCCAGCTGGCCTGTGACACTCTTCTCTCTTGCTTCCCTTCTCTATGAGGGTCTGGAATATTAATATTGGATGAGATGCCAGATGATTTCTCTTCTTTGCATGCTACCTCCTGGCTCCTCTGCTCTGCATAGACTGAGACATACATTAACCCAGAGCATAGGAGCACAGAAGTAATTTGCTATATAAGAGTCAGACAGTTGCTAAGAGCAGAAGGGTTCTGGGGCATAATGCACATTAGGTTTCCACTTGATTCGGAATCTGGTGGCTGTGCCTGTATCACATAGGATCCAGAATTAGCTGCTTTTGGCTTATGATATTTAATGCAAAAGCAAAGTTGGAAAAAAGCAACACATTTACAGAGAGAAACCAAAAAGATTAATAATGACATGACTCTTTTCATGCCTTAACATTTTCTTAAACTATGAAAATATTTTGACTTTGGAAAATCCCATTTCCCTAACCATATTAATCAGCTGTTAAACCATTTATATCAGGGGTGGGCAATTATTTGGGCTGGAGGTCCACTTAGGAGTTTTGGTGAGCTGTCAAGGGCTGAATCAGCCACCACCCCCCCACCCAACAGCTCACCAAAACTCCCTAAGTGACTTTGCTCTGCACTCAGCCAAGTGGATAGGATGGAGCTGCAGGCACCTGGGGTGCAGCATCTGGGAGCAGGATGGGTGAGTGGAGCTGGGGCTAGGATCGGGATCATGGGGCCATGACAGCACGGGGCCAGGGCCCAGGGCAGAGCCATGACCTGCTGCCTGCGTGCCCCTGTGATGGGCACCAATCTCATGGGCAGAGGCACATGGGGATTGTATTACAACTCTGTCCCAGGCCCCAGGCCCATGCTATCATTGCCCAGTGATCCTGGGGTCTCCATGGAGACCAGCCTGGGACCCACACAGGCAGGGCATGCTTGGCTGGGTGCATGAGATGAAGCTGCGAGTGGGCAGGGAGTGGGATCCAGGAGTGGGTAAGTGGGGCTGGGACCATGACAGCATAGGGCCAGGGGTCAGGGCCCAGGACAGAACTGTGATCTGCTCCACGCTTGCCCCCACCCATGGAACTGGTGCCCGTCACAGGGATGAGCGGACACCGGAGCATGGTTCTGCCCCAGGCTCTGGCCTCACGCTGTCACCATCTCGTGAACCTGGTCCCAGCCCTGATCCTGGCCCCGCTCACCCATCCCACTCCCAGATGCCATGCCCCACCAGCTTGCAGTCCCATCCCATCTGCCTGACTAAGCACATTCTGCCCATGCGGGTTCTGGGCCAGTCTCCATGGAGACCTGGCCCACTCTATCCAGCACCCCCAGCAATGGATGCAGGGCAGATGTGCCAGGGTGCCCAGGCAGCAGGACCAGGTACAATGACAGCAGTGGAGACTGGCAGCAGCACTGAGAAGGAGCTGCCACTGTGGGGCCTGGGAAGCAAGTCCAGCCACTCCACCACCCCAGTCCTGCTGTGCAACTGGGAGTGGCAAGACTGGCCACATGCACCATGGCCCAGGCTGCCCCAAACCCCTGAGCTGGGTGGGGCCAAAGGACCCACTGTAGGCCAGATAAAATCCCTAGGTGGGTCAGGTCTGGCCTGTGGGCCATGCTCCCCACCCCATCTTTATTATCAAGGTAAACTTAAATCTCTTGCTTTCTTAAAATAGTATGAACACTGAAAAATAAGAAAAGATTAAGCTTATTTACTTTCACATGTGTAATCAATAAAAAACAAGTTTATTAATTATTTTTGCTAAAGAACCAGTTTATGGTCTAATGAGTTTGATACCACCTATTACGTTTTGCTCATGTGCAATTACATTACTATAGAAAATTTGTATTTTCTATAGTAGAGACTATTACTATATTTTCTATAATAGAGAATATTACTTTGTAGAAAAATTACATTGCAAAGTGTCAATGTCAAGACCTTACTGTTTTTATATATTAACCATGCTATTAAGTACCTTATAACAAAGAAAACTCTAAACAAATCCATAAATAAGGATACAGTAGCAGATCTCAAAAGTCATTTTTAAAACTGGAACACTAATATTTTCTCCCAAACAAGACATGAACAATTATGTTTGCATAAACATTTCTTTTAAACTGATTTGACTTTCAGTTTTCCTTTTTCAGCAGCTGGCTGTGAAAACTGACCTTTATTAACTAACTGTTACTCAACAGGCTTTAATTTTTTGGCTTCATGACAGTTTACATTTTTTTCACCCTTTCAAAACATATAACCAATGATTGCTACTGTGTGACAGAGTGCAGAATTAACATTTATCAAGTGAACTCATCAAGTTCATGCCTCGATAGCCTTCTTCTGACTATGGCAGCTATCGAGTCCTCTGTAGAACAATTAGTCACACTGAACAAATGGAAGAGGCTGTCATGTCTGTCACCTTACCCTGTCCTTAGGCTATAGAGAATTAGATGTTACTTCTGCTTCTCTTCTATTTCTTGTAATCCAGAGAGCGAAAGAACAATAATGCAATCTTAATGCAGATCACTCTCATAATAGTCAAGCATGCTATAATTATGCTACTGAGGCAGACTCACAAATTTTGAAATTAAAACAAACACAAAGCCTCAGGAGGCTAAGGCAAATTTTGAAGCTGCTCTAAGATTTAAACAGAAAAGTTATTTTACCAGCAAGTGACATCATTGCACTTTTGCCATCCAGTTGTGCTTTCACTGATCAAATTAATATATCTGGTAATCAGAGAAATCCCCACATTTAAGGATGTCAGATGGTTAAGATTTTGCTTTTAACTTTCAAACACACACCTTCTGAAATATTTATATATGTCTATCTCAGGTAAATGAAAGCAATCAGCTAGCTATTTTTGAATGTCTTAATTTCTGTTTAATGTAACCGCTTATGTGACTACACAAATCTTTATTTGGTAGCATGTACTCAGGCAGATTGGCTCTGAGGTAAGGAACAAATAATGACACTCACTATTTTTAGTTGGATGTGCAGGGTAACCTTCAGCCTTAGCATATCAAGTACAAAGCCTCTCAAGTCAAAGGAGTTGCACTCACACAAGGTTTGACTATAACCCATAGAGAGTGTTAAGTTTACAAAAGTATTTTCTCTATCTCTACATTTTCTTAATATACAAAATATGAATTCAGCACTTGTGTATTCACAAGAAATCTTTTGCATACATACCACCAGGTAAGTTAGCTTATATACATTTGATTTGAAGGCAATCTAATTTAAAACATTCAAAGTTCTGATGATGAAAAAAAATCTGTTGAACTCCAGGAGGGTTCTTAAAATCCAAAATCCTCACACTGTATATAGAACTTCCAATACTGTTCCATTAAATGACATGGCAAAAATTCTTCATTATTTATTAACAGTATCTCACTGAAGTGAAGAAAATTTGTGGAATTTTTTACCAAATCAAATTGAATAGAAGATTCTGTTGAAAACAAAGAAACAAATTATTAAAAACATGATATTGAAATAATAACTAACTGGGATCTTACAGTCAAAGTTACTAGGCATGCACTTTGGGGCACAGACACATTGTATCACCTGCAAGAAGCCCCACAGAGTTCAGTGGGACTATGGAGAGAGTAGTGTACCAAGACACAGTGAACTGCAGGTTTGGGCCCAAAGCCACAGTACTACAAGCAGGATGGGACTATTTAACTAAAAAATTGCAGGATTACAGCCTTCATTTAACTGCATAAAATGAAAGGGGCGGGGTTGGTTTAGAATTTTTTTTCCCCTGCTTGTGTTATTTAAGCAATAATAATATCATGTTATACAGTGAATTGTCAACAATGGAACAAGACAGCTATTAATCACTAGCACAGAATTTGCTGTTCAAAGCCAACAGTTAGGAAAATGAGGTCTTCAGAGAGCTGCTTGTTTTTATGACTTTGTACTCTATCCCTTAAATACACTTGGAAAAAAAAAGCATCAGAGCTTCACATCAGAATACCTCATACTGGGCATTCGGATACAATTATCACTGAAATGAACAGCACACTTGAAAGTCATGAATTACATTCTTGAAAGGAGCTATGTTCAGGAGTAGTAAGTGCTAACCATGGTGAAATTATCACAATTAGTAATTGCTCCCAGGAAGAGAACACTGTCATAAGAATAAGGGTGGAGCTATAATAATCATAATAAAAAAATCAGTGTCCAAACTCTGTCCAAACATTTGGAGACCCTCTAGCTTTGTTCTGACAGAACTAAAGGATGCTCTGTTCAATCTTATTAGCTCAGCTAAGTCCTGTTAAGATGCAGACTAACACATTTGCAGCCATGTTCACTGTCATGTTGTAAACTAGACTTTCCCTTAGGTTATAGCATGACTATAAACATCCTACTTTGTACTTTAACATGGTTCTTCCATTGTATTAAGGTAATTCTTTTGATCTAACATAAATAAAAAAATACATCTTTGTCTCTCTAAAGATCTAACTATAAATAGGAAAAAAAGAAACATTAAAAAATCATCTACAACTTCCTCTACTCAGTGCAAGAAGCAGGACAAGGTGGCACCTTAGAGACTAACTGGTTCAGAGAGGCATATGCTTTCATAGACAACAAGATACTTTATCAAATACTATGAATGGGCTTGCTGAAATCAAGTAGATAGCATTAGTTCGTGGATAAACACAGACCCTTTTGCATTTTCACCAATGTCATTAAGCCTCTTTAAATAATTTTGCAATATGTCCGTGTCAGAACAGAGGCTATATAAAAAAAAAAATGGGGGATTTACAGTAGGGTACCTTGCATCTGTACAGATAAGCAAGCAAAGCCTGATGGTGTCAAATAAATTGTGTCTGAATCTCTGAAGAGATTATGCTATTCACACAAAGGCCTATACCAACCTCATTAGTGGTGATGAAAAAAATAGGAATAGTGATATTTGGGTAGAAGTCAGAAAACAGTTTGATGGAAACCATATCTCAACATGTTAATCATTTACCTCAGGTGTAAAATGTTTAAAATATAATAATGTGAAATCTATAAATGTGTTTTGTGATACAATCTGGATCCATAGTAGCATCACAATTACAATCTTTTGATAATACCTCAAATATACCTAACTTTTATCCCCTCCAATTTTGCTGAAAGATGTTCCTTTGTCTCTTAATTTTTCATAGGAATTTTTGTAGAAAATATTGGCAAAGTTTGAAACTACTTGGTACACTAGTTCCTGTTAGTAACTACTTTATAAAACTATTTGGAGATTTTTTAAATCAGGTTTTTGTGGGATAGCTGCTATAAAGAGGTCAGAAGACTTCCAAATATGAAAACATGTCTTCTCTCAAGTTCCTGCATCTCTAAAATATATATATTAATTAGCTTCAATTTTTGCCAAACAAGTAGGTCAAAAACTAAAAAAATCTGTCAGATCTTGTAAGAACTGGAAGCCAAATAACTGCTGCTAAAGGAGCTGAGAAGCTTTGGCAGAAATGGTCTAATGCCAACTTTTTAGACCAGTATAGGCCAATCTTTTTGTCAGGCATGCCACAAGTTAGTCCTGCACGCTCCCCAAGTGCCACTTCAATCCCCTTTTCCTGCCCTTTTGGCTGCTCCATTTTCTGCTCCCTGCTCTGTGGCCACATCTACACAAGATGCTGACTGGGCAGTAGTGATTACTACTGCACAGCAATGTTATGTGGCAGGAAGTGTGACACAGTGCTACTGCACAGTAGTAACAAGCTATTGCAGTCAGCATCACCTAAAGCTGTTCGGTGATGCTACTGTGCAGTAACTCCGGTTACTGCGCAGTCATTTAGTACATATATAAACAAGACTACCTTTTAGTGCTTGTATAAATAAGTACTAAATGACTACACACTAATGACTAAGCAGTCAGTGTCTTCTGTAGATGCCACCTGTGTTCCCTATGCAATGTTACTCTGCTTTCTGCTCCACATCCAATCTGCTGCTCTACTTTCTGTTCCCTGCCCTATCTGCCACTGTGCTGCCTGCCTCCTCCCCAGTCTCCTGCTTCTCACACACACAGGCTGCTCACACCACTATGGCATACATGTCACAGGTTATCTACCCCTGCTATTGACCTGAACAGATAGATGTCAGATGAAGAATAACTTCTAAGTCCTCTATCTAAGCATCTTACAAAATGAGACTGGATCTTGGTTTTAAACTTGCTCATACATTTTGGGTTTTGAAATGTGACTCCAAGGACAATTTTCCACCTACACCTGATAGAAAGCATCTCAAGGCTGTACTAAATCATAATTTTCCTTTTATCCTCAATAATTCATCTAAGTTCACGTCTTCTCAGAAAATCTGTTATCTCCCATCTTCTGTATGAACAAGAATAAAATGTGAGGGGTTAGTAAACCATCAAGGTATGTGAAACTTAAAAAATACCTTTGAATGCTATAGCAAGGAAAGTGGAGGCAAATATTTGATATGGTTCCAATGTGAAAAGGTTCATTTTGTGAGAAAATGTATCTGAGTCTCTGTTAGTACCTAATGAGAATTTCCTGATTATCTGTTTCCTGAAGGCATGCCCTTCATCCTGAAACATGCAAGGAGGCTTTGAAATCAACAAGCAAGCTTATCTGATTTAGTTTGTAGACTTTGACATTAAGCCACAGAATAGGTGAGGTAATAGATTTCTCAGAAAGGTCTACTGACTTCCTCAACTGTAAACAGCTATAAAGAATTCAGTGCCTTATTTCTTTGACTCCTCCATTTATATGTTGATTAATTTTAAAGGATTCTTTTCACCTTGATAGGTGTTTGCTGTGATTCCTTAACAAAGGCATAAAAGAACTAGCAATATATCAAGGAAAGAGAGCAACTACTGCTGTAAAAAAAAAAAATTACCTGTAGTTACTGACAACTACTGTTGCCTTGGGTGGTATGAGAAACTATCCATTCAATCCATTCAAATTTGATGTATAGAGGTTATACTCTAATACTTTGGAATTTTTTCTTTTTAAAAAGAACAAAATAATGACACTTCAAATTACAGTTAAAACTATTAATCAATTATAATTTATACCAGTGTTATTAAAATGCTACAGTTATAAGAGAGAACTGTATGAGAGTCAAAAAATGTGCATTCAAAACTGAATAAACAGGTGGTCCATACTGAAAGATTTCATAGATTTCATAGACATTCAGGCTGGAAGGCACCCTGGAGGATCATCGAGTCCAGCCCCCTGCCCAGGGGCAGGAAGTCAGCAGGGGTCATAGGATCCCAGCAAAAGAAACATCCAAAAGTGTCTTGAAGGCATTCAAAGTGGGTGCTTGAACCACCTCCGGCAGCAGTCTATTCCAGACCTTGGGGGCTTGGACAGTAAAGAAGTTCTTCCTTATGTCCAGCCTGAAACGGTCGCAGAGGAGTTTGTGACCGTTCAACCTTGTCATCTCTTGGGGTGCTAGAGACTTCTAAGCTAAAACATTTCACCCACTGCAGAAAGTGAGTTCAGCATTCCAGGCCATTTCAGAAAATATTTCAAAAGTCAAATCTTCTAAAACTGTAAAGGTAGAGCCAATTAAATTTATTGAAAATATTTTCTGCCTTAGTTGATGACCTTGTTGTTTAAATTTTTGATGGTCAAAATCATGCTACAGTCCCACACCCTGAGGTAAAGATGTTATAAATTAAATGCCAGTGTATTCTCCTTTTTTACAAATACAACCTGATCTCAGGGGATAATTACTCTTGTTAGTCTCACTGCAATTATTTTAGACATTAATTTACAGTCAACATTTAGCAAAATATGTCTGTAATTTACTCATCCCAAATCAGTCCTCCTCAGTTCTGAGACTAATATTAGACATACTTTCACTGTGGTTACTAGCATTTTTCACTTGGTTTTGTCTCTGATGGCCGGAGCCGACTCGAGGTGATTTAGAAATTACTCGGTCGCTGGGCGGGCTGGTGAATGGAGAGGCAGACAACGCGTATTGGTTGCAAAAAGCTTTACTTACGCCGCTAATAGCCGCAACGCAGGTGGTCCGGTCACTTAAACAACTCCACGAGTTGCTCCAGCTGGCAAGGCTCAGGCCAGCTAATCCATCCACAAATTAAGCCGGCAGGGAAAGGGTACGTCGAGGATTGCGCTCGGCGATGGGGAGAAGAATCGATAGGTGATCAGTCTATCGATCAGCTTAGCCGCAAGTCAGATATCTTTAGCACTCTGCAGCGTGCTCAAAGTTCTCCGACTTGGGCGGAAGTCGCATAAAATTTTATACGGCCAGCAAGCCAATTACTAGCCGCCATGTAGGAATAATTTAGAACTGACCAATAGCGGGACACAAATTTGCATGCAAAATGGCGGGAACTCTCTTGCACCGGGGTTTTCTGTTGCAGCAGAAAACTTTTGCTGTGCGAGAGACTCTCATGTGGCGGGAAAATTCCATCGTGCCGAGGCACTAAAATCATTGGGTTGCGACAGGTTTGTCTCG